AATTACACAAACACTTTTCTGCTGGACATCTTGCCAGGCCTTTTCTCAAGCCCATGCAAAGTCAATTACATAAGCACTTTTCTTCTGGACATCTTGCCAGGCCTTTTCTCAAGCCCATGCAAAGTCAATTACACAAACATTTTTCCTCTAGACATCTTGCCAGGCCTTTTCTCAAGCCCATGCAAAGTCAATTACACAAGCATTTTTCTTCTGGACATCTTCCCAAGCCTTTTCTCAAACCCAAGCAAAGTCAATTACACCAACATTTTTTTTCTGGACATCTTGCCAGGCCTCCTCTCAAGCCTGCGCAAAGTCAATTCCACAATTTCTTGAGTTCATGGTAACCTTCTTTTTTGCACGCTTTTTCATCGGTAGATGGCTTACCTTCCCCCCACTCAAAATGCGATGTCCCCATCGCACGACTAGTTCTCACTCGGAGGTACGCAGACCTTGGCCCACCAACTGAGTAGACGGATGCCGGCCCATCAACCCCAAAAAGGAAGGGTGATCAGTCCTCCCCCTGCTGATAACTCACCTCATCCCTTACTCCGTCCGACCTTTTGCTGCTTATGAGACGGGCGTCATCACTGAGGTATCTCCTCACATCTGGCAGGTAGCTCCAGTCCAAAAACCTCCCAGGACCCCGTCTTGTTGTAAGGGCTTTCTCGCGAATCGTTCCTCCCGAGTGGTGTTTTCTTGGATCTGGCCTCTTCCTTTCAAGAGAGTTGGGACTCTCAATTAGTTTGCGAGTGCAGTTACGAAGACCTCGCGGTTAGTTTCAGAACGGTTGTAATGATCCGGCAGGGCGATGTCACTCGCCCTGTGGTGGTTGCGGCTTCCACCCGGTACCACGCCCGATTCCTCCCTCTGGAAAGTGCTACTCAACTTAATGCGAGCAGCCGTGGTCCATTCCAAACGGTCGTGCCGCCCCTCTACGGCATGGCGTGTGGTTGGGGAGAAAAAATGAGACTTAGGAAAAAGAATGGCTCTCTCGCCCGTTTGGCTCCACGCCCTTTACGTTTAGGTTCTCAACATGAGG